TCTCAGTTGCCACTTTTCCCATAGAAAGGAAAGTAAAAAATGTTTGGAATTACTGGGACAGAAAGAGATAATAAAAAAGAGAACATAATGCTACTATAAAAATCCATTTCTGTGGTCACATCGTGAATACCATGGCAAGCTCTGGTCTTGCCACCTCAAAAATGTTACAGCAGAATTGCAACACAAAAGGGTGGTGTGACTCTCAGTTATGGGATGGCTTCCACACAAGGAATACTTAAATGAACTCTTAACACAGAAAAGAGAAGATGAAGGCAGATGATGATAGGGGAGTTAGGAAATCATGGCGTAAAATGGGGAAGGTGAATAGGGGCTGTTTTGTCATTGTCTTTTCTAACATAAGATGTGGAGGGAAACAACTAACAATAATAGCTGGTAGCTAAACAAACAAAGTTTGTGGTTTTTTCTTTGAATTAAACAGTGGACCTCATTTTCAGAAAATACTATCAATATGAAAAGTTCATTGGGATTCAAAATACAGCAATTCATTGGAAAGAATGAGCAAAATTAAAACATCAGCAAAAATTCAATATAAGGACACCTCTGAAGCTTAAGAAGTCTCTTTGCTCCAATCTACTAGTAGGAGATTATTCGAGGGCTGTATAGAGCTTCTTGCTCTATTTTTACTTCCTTTCCTACCTACCTGCTATTGCCCACTCTTGAAAACAGATCCTGGACAAAAAGAACTTCTGGTCTGAAGCACAGTGGGCATTTTTCTGTTCTTAGGCAGTGTGCCTTTTGGAAAGACAACCCACTTCAATGCAATGCTACTACAGACACCAACAATTCATCGCACATCCTAAAGACCACTTCAGTACCCGTGTCAGTTCTTTCCTGGGCAAAATTCCACATTGCTATACGCATGAGACCATCTTCTTAAGGACACTTAACTCTTTCACAGCACTTGTCATTCAGGGATCTCAAAGCAGTTTACAAAGGAGAATAAGCACCAGTACCTTTGTTTTAGAACTGGGGAAACTGAGATCTGGAGTAGGAATAGAAGTTGCTCAAAGGCAAATAACTGATGAAGGCAGGGACAGAAGCAAAATCCAGGTCATCTTTTCAGCTCATTTACTCACTCATTTTCAGCTCATAAGGCAGCAGTTAATTGTTTTCAGTGAATTATTTTCAAGAGTACCCCAAAAACAAGAAAACTGTTAAGTTCTCAAGAACAGGGAAAAAAAAATCTATTGAAGCTGAATGTAGAGTTTGAACAGACTAAACATTTGAGTTAATTAGCTGGGGTACCCAAGATCTGCCTGCCTGAGAAATTGAAATGTTAATACAATCTTAGCTGTGAGAATATTGCAGTGCAGTTCATTTCGAGAGGTCAGTTCACAACAGTGAAAAACGGCTGTTAGCTGCCACCATTGCCTCTTTTCTGAGCGTCTTTCTCTGATCTTGCTGTATTTTCAAGGTTCACTAGTTCTTTGATAGGGACTGTACTTAAAACTACATGTAAGAAATGTATTTTTCTTAATAAATTCATGCTGAAATTCAGTTCGGTGGCATGCACTTCCAGCCCTTTTCCCTTTAAGGCAAAACCCTTAGCTTCAGGCAAGGATATAGCATTAAAAACTGGCTATGACATTCTGAGGAAAGAAACTAGAATCAAAAATCCACTCATTCTAACAGAAAACACCTAAGAGAGTGAATTTTCCAGTGCTATCAAGAATTGAATTTCAAAGCATCCAATGCACTGCATGGCTATTTCAAATTACCTGGCATATGTTCAAACAAAAATCCTTTCAGGAATGAAATGAACAAAAAGGATGATTAACTACATTTTCTCCCTCACATTTTTTCTCAATAAAGACATGAATCTGTTGCATAAAATACAGGTTGAGCATTTATACCTAGAGCTTCTTTTGTCTCTGAAACTGGCACAGAAAACTTCAAAAACCTATGTCCTATTTCCTTATTTTCAACCTAAGTCAAGATTCTGGTTTCTTCTACATACAAATAGGAAAGCAGTCATCAAAGGTGTGTACTGATTGTTCAAAATTCTCAAAGATGAACTTAAGGACTGAAAAACTTGAGGATTAAAAGGACCTAATTCTTGGCCAATCCGCATTTTCCCAATGCAGACCAGAATTCTTGCCTGATCTGTTTCTTGGTGTTAAGCCATTTTGCACTCTAGCAGTTCAAAGAATAGAGTGAAGGAAAGGAGAAATTGAGAGCACTGGAAGTAATTTTTGTCAGACTAAATCATCCTGTCTTTCAGAGAGACTCAAGCTCTGCAGAAGTAGGTTTTAGCCTTCTGTAGCTGAAAATAAGAATGGTTTAATCATATTGCCACTAGGCAGCATAATGATGGCTCCTGAACATCCAGTCATGCTACCGTTGCTTAACAAGTTACTAAAACTCAGCTGAGCTGTACATCAGGCACTTGACTCTTAACTAACCAAAAATGTACAATTCTCTGAATTAGCCAAGACCTCCTTCTCTGGGAGTGAAACCAATTTTAAATGCCCCATGCTGAGTGTTCACATGTGGACGGGTATGGATTTTAACGGAATCATGGCAGCTTTTAGCCTGAGGTAATTGGATCATACACCTGATCTTTCTTTAGGAAATAATATTAATTCTTTTAGTACCGTTCATGTCAGTTTATCTTCCCAGTAGTACACTGGGATAGTTCTCTCATAGATTTTCCTGGATGTTCTTTGGCGAGCTTCTTTTTACCAGCCATTTTAAATTCTCATTGAATTCAAATCCAACTTATTAATCATGACTGAAAGAGGTCACAAAATTATATTATCTTTGAAATCTTTGCATCTTCTATTTCTGGTGGCTGTTGTTCACTGGAGGAAATAAAAAAACAGGCAGTTGGATTTGGCCCTTTGTCCTGATCTAGGTTAAGGCAGAAGCATTCTGACATACTGGGGGGAGATCTTCACTGTGCTGCCCTGGGTACATGGCAGATGTCAAACTTTGGTTGACTATCACAATAATAAGTGATGCTTGAGTCATTATATATGATTTCATTTGACTTGCATGAGGAATATAAAATGATTCAGTTTAGTTCCTTTAGCACACAGTAGAACCATGTATTTTTAATTACAAACACAAGACAACCAGCAGCAAAAAAATGCATTTTTCAAAATTGCATTCTGGCAATGAGGGGAATACTGTAATATGAGTTTTATGATTTGCATTTTAGACTACATTTTCAAATAACTCTTTTCCTCATTCGGTGATGCTTTATGTTGGGAACAACCATAAGTATAGTGAAAAGGGGCTTGGCCTTATGATTTCCTTAAATTGTATAAGTTGGTCCCCACTCCACAGTGCAATTACTGTTGTTATCTCATTAGCACTTTAATTAGAGTTTAAATGCAAGCTGATGCTGCAAAGTCCAATTCACAATGTTAACTCGGGGTAGTACATATGGGGCATGACCAAGGGGAGTGTTTAGTTATTGGTTCATTCTAGAGATGTCTCAGGTCTATTCTAAATTAGAGACAAATATATTTGCCAGTATAGAAAGAGAGAGTTTCTAAATGTACCTTTATTTTTTGTGCTTTTTTGTGATCTTTACATCAGAAGGGCTTTCTGGGGAAGAAAAAGGTTACTCTCATTACTCTGGACTACCTATTGTATTTTCTAGTAATCCCATCCAAGAAATTTGCAGACTTTTTGGATCGCTAGGGGTAGGTGAGGGGGTTATGGTTCACAGACCATCCTCTAGGCAATTCTATTAAAATTAAATGTGCTGACTATTGTAAGTTTATTACTTTGTGATATCTAAATAAGAGTTGCTTGTAGGTAAGTCTCTGTACCAGTGAGTCAAATTACTGTGAAGCTATTTGTACTTTTGGAATGGCTCCTCTGGTGACATATATACCAGCATGTTTCTCTCCTTAGCATGCAAATAAATGAATTCTTACATGAAAAAGACTTTTATTGCCTTTTAATCTTCCCTTCACCTGTGCACAATATGATATTTGCTGCATCTTAACAACTACAAGAAAAAATAGCTCTCCTGATTTCAGTTCAGGAATTGTTCCATTGAGTAGCTGGATTCCTAGGCAATGGGAACCTGTTTTCATGCTGGATCACATGAAAGGTATAGCACTGACTATGTGATAGCTCAAGGCTTCTATTCCTTGGAAAAAGATGACAGTGCCTGCTGATTCTAGAGTCTTTGTGCCTTGTCAATAAGGATTGGGGTGGCATGAGGGACAGCTCTACCCATTCTAGGTTCTCTGTCTGGGGGGGACTCCAGTGAAACCCAGGAATTCTTTGTAAGGACAACCTCCTTGCTGCTTTTTACCACAAAAGCATGGACAAGTAGAATCAGCTCTTTCAACATCATCCTTTCTAATCGCATTGGCCTTTCCCATCCATGCCCAGTATTTTCTGGGAAAGTATCACTGTATTTTAGTTGGAGGTTCAACACGGTTTATGAATGAACTTCCACTCTTTCTCTGCCCACTGTTGGTTGGTACTGGGGACAGACTTCTGGACAGAGAAACAGCTTAATTGTAGGCTATACAGGGAAAAAATTAAAAAGGGGAAAGCTAAGAAATATACTCTAATGATGGGAATGACAAAATATAATTGACTATACAAGAAGAGGCATTTTCTTACTGCAGTTACCACATTGTTCTAATAATGTGTCTGACGGAAGTGCCCTAGTTCTGAAAAGCCTCAAGTGGATGAGCAGATATTGTAACAAACCTACTGTTTTTTGAATGTTTTTCCTTTCTAGGTCTCGATACATTCTACAAAGGAAGACAAATAAAGAATAAAGGAGAGAGCTGAAACGAATGACCTAATGTCAAGGAAACAACCAAAAACAGATCTCAGCAATTATGACTTTAAGTGTTAGCTACCGTGTCATCTTGAGAGAATAACAGAGGACATTTGACATTATTTGTCTTATTTTATATAAAAGTAGATGTGGAACATCATAGGTGCTTATCAAATCAGCTCTCTTTGGAACATGGTAGTGTCCTTCCACCCACACACATCCTTACCAGAAGAACAAGAATCACTGGCCCTTGATATATGTAGTCGATATACTTTCCTGGTTCTTTTCCAAACCAGCATCTGTAAGAAACAGAACAAATAATACAATCATTTATTTAGACAGTTCTTCTGGATGGACTGTAATGTCAAGGACACCACAGAGTTGTGCCCTTACGCCCCTGAGTTGTTTAATTATGTACACAACAAGCAACTAATTGAATTTTCGGCTACAAAGTCTTCTATTTGGACAATATATGAGCCTCATTTACCCCTCTCTTTATGTTCCCACTATGTTTCTGGCTACTGCCATTTAAATATTTGCAAGAAACATGACAACCCACTACAAGAAAGTGCAGAAGATATATCCTGTTGGATATGAATAATAAAAAACAGTAAATAATGAAAAAATAATGAAATAACCATTCTTTGCAAGGAAAAAAAAATCTGTTAAGGGATAGCAGTGGGGATCACAGACACTTCAGTTCCAGAAAGTAAGGGTTTATTGCTGTAGCAAATGTTTCTCAAGTTCTGTGTAAATAAGGTAGTAGAGGAATAAGGAGTTCATCTCATTGGCATTGAATCGTTCCAGGGACCACAAAATTCAGCACGCAGAGACCTTTTCTGAAGTTAGGAAAAACCTGATCCAGCCCTTCCAGAAGGAAATTAACTAACTTCAGTAAATAAAACCATAGGTAAAATGCTGGGCCTCATACTAGCAGAAAGCCTGGATGTGACTGAGCCCTAGCTTGACTTCCACTAATGGCAAATGTTTTTCTCCCTGCTGTGTTTTACAACAGACAATGTCTGTGCTTTCACAATGACCCATACTGATATTAATTCCATTCCCTTAACTGAGAGAAAAAAAATGGTTTTATTTATGCTAGTAAATTAACCAGAAACAGGGCTTAGGCCCATGTACAGTCATTTGTTGGATAACCATTACACTGTCCTTGGTTCAGTTTTGGCCCCAGTAAAAAAATGGCCAACTCCCAAGTTTTTCCTGGGGAAGAAATCTGGAGTTAGCATGAGCCAGGAACCTTTCCTAATAGCCTACAAACTGCACATACAGTGATTTGGAAGCCAAAACAGTTTAATAATATGGATGTGAGCCTCTACATGCCATTTGGCCTCCAGCCTCAGGAATGATCCTGATCCAGCTGATTTACTTGTATTGATATAGCCATGAAGTCTAGATCTTCCTCCTATCAAACAGAGATAACTTTATTGTCATAAACCTATATTGTCTCAGTTATTGGAGCTCCAGATCTTGACACTTAAAAGGTACATTTTGGAGTTCAAGGGTCTGAGGTTTTTCCTCTCTTCATGGATGCCACAGAGTGAGTTTATATAGGTAAAAATGATGGGCTTCTCTGTGTTTGCCTCATCACAAAAGACAAGCTTAATACTGCTGGAAAAGCAGGACCAAGAACAATTCCTGAGCTAAGGACACCATGGAGACAGACGCAGATTGGCAATTTTACTAACGTGCAAGAAATAACATCTTTTGCCTCAAAGAGGTTACAATCCGTAAATAGGACATGATTCTATGATTCTATGATTCTATGAACTGAAAGTACAGAAATACCAAGAAGTGTAGCACGTCTCCAGGACAAGAATTCACTATCACACTTTTTTTTTTTCATTTCCTGATTCAATGTCAATGTCTTTTTAAGTTGCAACAGAATGAGAGGGCTTTGAATATTTTATACATATAAAACGTGACTGTTATTCCCTGTTGCACTGACTGAAAATTAGTGTAAACTGATAATTTTGCAACTAATCTTCCAAAATCTGGCACAAAGAACAGTATTTGGAATAAAATACTTCCTGCAGCCCAAACTATTATCCAAGAAGAATCCCCAGAACAGCCTTAAATGAATGAAACTGATTTTTTTGATTAGGGAGAGGAAAGATGTGAAGGAAAAGGAATTGCAAGATATGCCAAGGAAGGAAGTAAAACTCTTCCAAACTTGCAAGGCCTAGAATTGAGGTTGTTGAAGGACACTAGGAGAAGTATAAAAGATTGTCTGAAAATTCAGAGAACCAAGGGCCATTAGCAAAGAAATTTCTGGGAATCTGGCTGTACTAGCAGAAGAATCCAAATGGGTCTAATAAGGAAACAGACTGAGGCATGTGACAGAACTCAGTGGGCTAACAAAAGTCAGTGGAGAATTTCCAGTGGAGCTAGTGGAGCAGAAAGGAGGTTAAGGGCTATAGGCAACTCATTACTCTTTGAAATTTAAATGTCACTTAAGTATAAGACTATATTTAGAAGCATAATAAAAACATCTATTATTCCAAATCTGGTATAAGACAAAGATTTCACTGAGTGATGAGCCACACATATGCAAATGCATTTTAACACAATTTAAGCAGGCAAAATGTGGCCAAGGGTAGACTTCTACAGCATAGACATCTCCATGTGAGCTAGATGCTCAAAGCTCTGTTTGGAATGAGCCAAAAAAAAAAAAAAAAAAAGGCAAAGGCTGATGATCATCTCATTAGGAAATAAATCAAACTGGTCCAGTAAATTGCAACCTTATGTTTCTGCCCATTAGCTCTCAAGAGAGCCAGGGTGATGAGCCAAATATATGCCAACAACACATATGTCTGTATGTGATTAGCTGTATCTCACATTTACAGACCAAATTCAGATTGGGACCCTAGCTGGGGTATTGCAATATGGACACAGTGCAGCTCTGCAACTCAGACTTTTCTGCCTGTCTTCTTAACTCTTATCCATTATTCCTGAAATGAAATCAGCACCCCATACATCCTTAAAACCAAGCATACATAAACCTTAATCTCTCACAGTGCTTGCTGCATCAGAATTATAATTCTAGCTCTGTGAAAATACATATAAAAGCT